TCACAACGGAGCTCTTATTTCCCCAGATTTGGAAGATCTACCCATTTATAGAACACAATTTTCCAGCAACGTGGACTCCTTCCTGCCACAGTACAGGACTCAATTGATGTATAGAAACTCAAGGGAAAATACAACATTATTAGCAGTCACACTTTCCTAAGATACTTTATACAGATTTTGAACTCCTCAGTAAAAAGTGCAAAACAAAAAAAAGAGCACCCTCAAGAAAATAACAACAAAGAAAGCTGTAGAAATTACAAGGCTGTTAAATGCATGCTGGTACACTAAGGAAAACCATTAAACCTCCTGGCCTGACATATTAATACAGACTCCTAACTTTTTCAGTGAGAAATAAAAACACACATATGTAGAGGTCCCTGTTGTATCAAGATTACACCCAGAGCTGTTACGAATTACAAAAATACGAAAACAAGTATAACTTTTCAAATTGAAAAAAGTACAGACTTAAGGCTACGGTCTACAGTATGAAAGAATCATTGGCAAAAAAGTTTGCAGAGTAAATTTGTGGGAAGCTAAAGGGGAAAAAAAGTCCTGCCAAGCACGGAGAGTATTTTAACAGCATGGTCTTTTTCCTATAAAGTCCGTCAGCAAACAAACAGAGGTCAAGGCCATTCATAAATTCTAAAAATAATATTTACCAGATCTTTATCTCTCTGAAAGGTATAATTCTGATAAGTGACTATTCTAGATAATATTTAACATAAAAGTTTATTTACAAAAATACTTGCAATAGCCTGAAATCGGATTTTAACTAGAATCGCCCATTCAAGTCAGCAAAGCTACACATAAATGAAGATCATGTTGTTGGGTTGGTTTCTTGTTTTGATTTGCATTTGGTGGGGTTTTCGGGGAGCGGCTACAAGTAAGGTCTATGAAAAATACGCTGATCCATGTGAACGCTGATCAGAAACAGAGATAAGTTGCTAAAATATTGTCGAGGTTTGATCAGAGATTTGACCATAAACCGTAAGAAGTCAGTGGCAGTCTTTCGACTCTTTTCAACAGACATAAATTAGACCCTAAAGTATCATAAACACTGCTTTGCAGAGAAATGTCCTGGACTGAATGACAACATAACTACTGAAAAACATATGTAATTTATGTTTAAATAGTAAAATTTTTTGAACAATGACACATCAAACTTTGTGAATTCACCCCACGACCAGTGGAACTGCCAGGAAGAAGCTACATTAAGAGTATCAGCCCTTAGTTTCCTCCACAACTGCTGAGAAAGTGAATATACATGTGTGCATACGTGAGTTCATATGGAAATTAGAGGGAAAAGGCACATTTGCAGAAGAAGCTTTAGGTAAGAGCTAACGCAGCAGAAAGGTCATCCTCCTCAATTTTTACTGTTGTTGCAAGTAAGCATGACATTTTCCGAGGCCATTTTGAAAATTGCATAATTGGCACGATCACGAGGCTTAGGCTGGTACCCTGCTTCAGATGAGCAATCACCTTGAAGTGAAATCTTATCTGGATTCTTACTGTAAGTTTTCATCAGTGACATCACACAAACACGCATACCTTCTTTTTTTCAAGCCAATTTGGCTACTATTTAGTTTAGAAGCCATTATTTCTAAGAAATGTCATTCATGGACAGGGGATCTATAAACAAAGACAGGTATGATTCATCCTCTATTAAAAATTAAACATGTAAAAATCTTTCAAAGACAAAGGCATTTTCTGCATGCATATTAGCAGAAGAAGAACATTTAAAAGGGAATAAAGGAACTTGGTTTTGCTTAAGAGGCTCTCGCTCCCCAAACACCACAAGCTGCAACATTATAAAGAAAGTTACCACCAACCAACTTAAAAGGAACTGTAAGTGTGAACATGAAATGTTCTAATTAACAGTAGGTATTTGGCACAGTTAATAAAGTAGTAAGGTATTTTAAATGCCTAAACTATGTTTCTTAGACACTATCAGCAAGTATAACTGGCTTAAGAAAAGTGATACTGTAATGCAAAAAAAAAAAAAATTACAGTAATATTCTGCAGATTCATTCCCAATGTGAAAAGTCTTGTTCATTCCTGGTCACCCACTTCTTTTCACCACGTAAACTGCAAGTCAGAAGCAGTCTAAAATGTGTACAATGTTCAGAAAATAACACTGTACGAACAAGATATATTCAATGCTGGTCATCTGTGGGCTTTAGAGAACCATTCAACCTATTTTTTCCCTTCACCTTGGTCTTTGCTTATGAAAATTTATATTGCAGGATAAGCATACCGGAAAAAAAAAAGAAGACTCAGAATACCAGAAACTTTAAAATATTGCAGACTTGGAAGGGTTAATAATACGCTGTAGAAGTTTGCCAAATGTCTGAAGGTTGATGCATCGGGAAAAAACCTGACTGGAAGCAACAAGGATTTGTGCTGGATGTAGAGCGCAGAGGCGCGATGCTGCTGTTGTGACGACATGAAGGAAGAGAGACTTGGCAGGCCCCATACCGTGGTGGTATGTGACAGCTGAAACCCACCTTGAGATGCTGGGGCTGACACAGTTTTAAACTACATGTGTTTTCATTACAACATTCTGGAGCATGAATAAACCTGCACGGGATTTCCTCTGTTTCAGCTAGAACAGAAATGAAATGTAACGATCAGTTTGAGGTTCACTACTGAGAGCGAGCTTTTGCACGTGTGACATCCTATAGACGCAGAGTCTTTACGACTCCTCTCGTCAGCAGACAAGTGTTAGAGACGGCACCTACGAATTCAAGTCTGTACGGCTATGCCTCTACAAAAATTTACCTCGAAAATTCTAAGGGCTTTGCACAGGTCCCCAGCTGCACCTGCTAGCCTAAAAGCCACTGCCAAGCTGATGAAGAGCAACATTTAGTTGAATAATGGGGACGAGTTAAGAGATGTCAAAATGTGATACAAGCCCTAATCTGAAATATGGATCAGGATGCCTGAAGCGTTGCAACCTACAGATCTCCATCACCTGAACACATTTCCACACGTGCAGTATTAGTTCTGAGCACCAAAAATCTCAGGATTTCAATCCTGCAAAGCATCAGCTACCCTCACCTGCCTATCTTACTGAGCTATCAGCTCAGACCACACAGACGAGAAAGGTTTATCAAGCCTGTATCACCACCAAGCCTGATGACAGATATTATCCATTTACTGGTCTAGAGGTAAAGAAATGTGAAGGGCTACCATGGACTGATGCCAGACCAGAAGAATCCTTCAAAAGCCTTATGAGAAACTGTCATTCAAAATACAACTACTAATGACAACCATGCTACTACCAGTATTTCCCTGTTCATTGTGCCTGTCCTTGCGACAGATGACAACCCTGACCCAGCGAAGCAGCGCTTACGCGAGAGCTCTCACAGCTGGAAGGAGCTACTTGATGACCAAGTGCTCAACCACAAAGGCAGTAAAATCCTGGGTCTTTATTTTCAGGCATCCCATCGGTCTTCTGGTGAACTTTTCTCACTATATAAATAATGCAAGTTATGAAAATTTTATCAAGTAAAATAACTAGAAAACAGTAACTTCATCTTCCTTGATCCAAGAAAGCACATTTAGGCCAAATCTGGATGATAACAAATATCCAGCTACATGCAAAGTTCAGCAG